GAGAGAGAGAGAGAGAGAGAGAGAGAGAGAGAGAGAGAGAGAGAGAGAGAGAGAGAGAGGATCTTGGGATGGGAAGGAGGGAGCAAAACAGAGTGGAGAAGGGGAGTTGGTGACTGGATGGAAGGAAACCAAACAACAGATTGTGAGGAAAAAGAGGAGAGGATAGGAAAGGGTGGGGGTTGCTGTCTAGATGCGAAGGACACAAATTCCCAGTTATGAGACCATAGCCGTGCAGAGACTTTGTACCTGAGTCATGAAGTTCTTTTATTTCCCTCCTCGCTTCTCAGTAGCCGCGCATATATATATAGAATGACTTCCAGCGGAAGCGCCTGGAAGGTCTTCCCCAGTACAGCGCTGGGGAGGAACTCACTCACTCAGCTATTTCTCCCAAAGCAGTCTTCGGCTAGCTCTGTACACCAGTTCATACACCACCACCTCTACCACTCCATACTATAGAATGACTTCCGCAATCAACAAACATCCTACCACCTTCTCTCTCTCCTCAACTCCCTTAACAAGTCCCAACATGAGAGCGCATATGATCAATCGTGCCCTGCACCACCTAGGAGCACTTGGCGTTGGCAATGTCATATTAAAGCCATCACGATAGACAACGTACACCATCGCCGCCTGGCTATCAAGGAAGTTCGGGAATGCGAAAAAAGTACGCTAAGAACGTGATGAAGAATAGTGCAACGAGATTGGCGATGTACTAGACGGAGTGCATAGGGAGGCTCGCTTCTTCAAGAACTCCAGTAATGCTTCCAATGAAGAAGACGTGAGATGTTGCTGCGAGGGGACAAAAGACAAACTTTAAGACAATCCTTCTTTTCTTTTCTTTTTGCCCAAGGCTGAAATTAGTAATGGAAGATATTGAGGCCGGGGTCCTCACAGTCTACCCGGAGTAACAAAACCGAGATTGCTGAGAACCGGGCTCAGCGTCCCTTATGATGATGACCGAAATTGTAGTGATGAAAAACGTAGAATCTGAAAGTTCTTAAGGTGCCGGAGCCATTACCCGGCTTTGGCTATGAAAGCTTCTAGGCTACTCAGAAATTTACTTTGACAAACTTCAGAAAAAATTGTCTGCTGCAACTGAAAACGCCACCACAGAAGTCCACTAATGCTCAGAGATCTACGAATCCCTAGCAACCCATCTGAGTTTTCCAACACTGACAAAACTCACTGATGAGCTCTTCCAGGTCTCGCACCCCCACCCTGCTGGGTTACAGGGTGACACGACTCACCCCAGCTCCGACCAGCGTTGTCTCAGCAGCAACCCTTGGTTGTCCCTTAGAATGCCCCCCCAAAGCATCCCCAGATCTCTCTACCAAGCCTCACGCTCCTGCATCCGCAGGTTACAGGGCAACGCCCCAGCACCGGCCAGCGTCGTTCTGGCATCAAACACTCCGCAGGTCACTGAATACATCAGTACTGAATCATCTAAGCTGGGTTATTAGAAGTCCCCAGATTCCTAAAACACTCTTAAGACCCTTGTTGGTAACCAAGCAAACCAGCAGACCTTCAGATCTAGACTCCTAAGGTAATTCCTAGCCTTCCTTTCCCCGGGACATACTCAGGGACAGTACCAACCATACTAACATCACCCATAGCTGATCTCTTCTCGCCACTACGCAGCCCCACCCGATTCGCCACTGGCTTGCCTTCCACCCTCGGCAAACCCCAGATCTCTCTACAAGGCCTCATACTCCTGCGAATTGCAGGTCACAGGCTAAATACTACCAAGCACAGCGGGCAAACGATAACATTGATGGGAGTAGAGACGCCATTGTTAAAGCATTTCATGGAGGAGTGGGTGAATCAAGGCTATAAGAGGGGTAGAAGGGGAAATAGAACAAGATATGGAAGCACAATTCAGTCAAGGGGCGCATGAAATGCCGGCATATGGA